TGAAATGGGTTTAAAATAAATTAATAGATATACTTTTGACAATTTCAGTATTTAAATGGTCGAGAACGACTAAAAGGAAAACTGTATAAGGGAGTGTAACGGTAACGGTGACGGTAACGGCAATACAACAGTCAACCTAGAGTTTGAAGTCAAACGCTCCATAATCCATTTTTTTGCACCGCCATAGTTAGTAGCCATAAAATGAAGATAAATTAAATATTGAGTATAAAAGCAAAATCTTAGGACGTTATTTTGGTAACTTGTTAGTTTTAAAGATAACCTACTTTGCTATATTTAAAATATTAAACAAGCAAAATCTATATATTAATTAATCATCAAATTATTCTAAAAGTGGTATATTTTACTTCCAAGGGACAGTTTTTGCATCCATAACCATCTTAATTAGTTTTCAAACTTGTTTAATATTTAATGTAATATTTGATTACTTATAGTTTAAGGCTAAAGCAAAAAGCAGCATAATTAAATTAATTTGTATATATTAAAGAAAGAAAAAGTAAAGACTAAAATGTGAACTCATTGCATATGCGTAGAATTAATATAATACGTGTTATAGTCATGACATAATGACTACGACAGTTTATTTTTATTTATAGCATTTGTCTACATAAGTAGTTATAACATTTAGATAAATAAATAAATGTGGATGCAGAGAGCTGGTTCATAGGTGTGATTGAATCTCAGGATCAAGCAATTCCCAAAATAACACTTGAATTCATGTCTACAGTTCTACTGTTCTTGTTTCATAGCATGGAGTGAAATATTAATTTATTCTGTGGAATTATAATAATTGTTAATCCTCGAAATTATAATTATTTATTAATTTAACAGATTTAACCTTTGACTTCGATGATTATGATCAAGTTAATTGGTTTTGATAAAAAGAACTTTAACTTTTAGTTTTTGAAACTATTAGTAAATTTAGTCTTTAATTTTGGTGTTTAAACTAAATTTTAATATCATAAAAATCAAATTGATGATTAATCTACATTTTACTAAATTTAGATTTATTTTTGGTTAAATTTATCATTGTAAATAAATGTTGTTTAGGTGTAAATATTTATTACATGTGCGTTCTAGTATTTATGTTATACTGATAGTTGTAGATTTACAGACTAATTCATGTCAAGTTGATCAAATTTTTTGGTTAAAAATACGTACAGAAGAAGAAGATAGTGGAAAACAAAACAAAATCCATGAAACAAGGGATATTAAAATAACAATTTTTTTAATATACGTCTAAGCACTGAATATATTCTATTAAATATTTTAAATTACTATAAAAAGTTTGCAATTTTTTAATGATTTTGAAGTAATTAATATTTTTATTTATAATAAAATAAAATTTGACTTTTTAATATATACTGTTAACTACACATTAAAAAAAAGTCAATAAAATAAAGAAAACTAATTACTAGAAAGTTAATGGAAGAAGTTCTCTAACACTTTCTCCGTGAGTTTAAAGAAAAAAGAAATAAAAAAGATTAAAGGATACGAGAAAAGAAGAGAAGAGAAGAAAAATGAAGATTAATGAAAAAATTCTTAAATTAAAGGAATTTTAAAACATGAATTTACAAAGATTTTTAGAGGATTTATAAAACTTTACTCTCTCATCTAAAAATTTCTAAACAATAATTATCATTAAATAAATGCTTAATTTTTCTTAAAAAAAAAAAACTGAGTATTTTTGTAGTAAGGACGACGGACGATGATAAATGTCAACTTGAATTTACTGTGATAATTTCGTTTACAATTGATTTTTATTGATTGCTTAGTTAACATTTCTGCATATATGATCTTAGATTCTTTTCAATAACTAAAAAAATAATTAAGGATTGAAATTAAGTCATAGCAATATCCATGGCACTTTAGGAATATGATGGCAAACATGATGCTTATTTATAATTTTATTAAATTAAGGGTCTCTAAGTAGCGCAAAGAGTTGATTTATCAAGAAATTTAATTTCAACTGTTAAGTTTGAATAAATCTAAAGATATGTTTAATTTCTCTTTTAAAAACTGTTTTTACTTTTCAAAAATAAATTGTAATATAAATTTGTATTATAATTTATTTTTAAAAACTAAAAATAATTTTTTTAAAAAGAAAATAAACATATTTTAAATACTTTTTGCTCGATCCAATTAACATCACATAAGTCTGCCACCTGTTATTATCATTGTTGTTGCAAACAGTCATAGCTTTTCATATATGCGTATTTTTTATTGGTTTAATTGCAACTCACTTTAATGTTTTCAAATAACACACTATTTATCATTGTTTTATAGATCTGAAAAAAAAAATTCGTGAATCCATTTAAATCCATTGAATTATATAATTTGAGCTTTAAGACGTAAACCAAAATTAAATTCAAACTATTTTAGCCTTTCCCATATGAACTTTTTCTTGATTTTAATCATAAAAATGCGAGTTTTAGGCTAAGCTTGGGCCTATATTTTTAAGACCCAAATAAAAACCAAACTTTTTAACTTATCCAACAAAACATGAAGTCTAAACAAAGTTGACCCATTTCAGCTGAGTAATCCATTTTATCACCTCTGTTCTCTAATTTTTATTTTTATTTTCCAATTTTATACAGGGTGCAAGAAGAGGATAATCGTGACACCCTCCTTGTTCCTCAATAAAAAAAAAGTAAGTTAACTTTTGTCCTGCAGAGTTGCTTTGTGAAAAGCATTAAAATAGTAGGATGCTTTTTCTTTGAAAAAAGCAAATGTACGGTAATGATTATTTTAAAAATTAGTAAATATGAATAATTATTTGTCTAAAATAAGTTCAACAAAATATACAAACATAAAAATTAAAGTGAGAGAAATGGACAGCCTACTGTTACGAAGATTAGTGACGATGATATTTAGATAAAACATAGGACCTACCCCTAAAACACAACCAACAAAATTGAACGTAATAGTTAATGATGTCTAATCAAGGGTACAAAGAGAAAAAAAGAGCACCAATATGAACGCAACGACTTTTTCGCATTCTGTCTCCTTAACAGCTAGTGCAAGAAATAAACAAAAACAAGCTATGAAAAACAATTCAAGAAAAAAAAAAAATTTGTGGATAACTGACTCGGCCTTTTTTCTTTTGTACATAGTATTTTAAAATAATATATATATCAAAATATAATTTTTAAAAAAAATTATAAAAATTCTAAAATTGAAAAATTCTTTTAAAAATTAAAAAGTTAATTAATTTGTTAAAATTGAAAATTTGTCAACAGTAATTTTTAAATTTAACTTATTTTATTTTAAAATTGCTAATAATAAATTTTAAGTCTCATATTTTTGTAATTTTTCTTCAAAATCTGAGTATTTTGGTATGTAATATTTTTAAATGTTATATTTAAATTAATTTCCCAACTAACTCCACAATTAGTTTCAAATTTTTTCTTAGCTCCTTCCGCAGCAGTGTTACTCCACGATGAGTATGAGCAAGATACGAAGAAGAAAAATTTGGTAGATCTCATTCTTTATTTAATAATTCTATTTTGTAATTTATAATAATTTTAATTAATAATAAAAATAAGTTATGTAGAGTTAATTTTGATGAAATTGATTTTGAGACGTGAATAAATTAATCTAAACCATTTATTTTTATTGGAAAGTTTGAGAATGATTCAATTAATTAGCGAACTAATTACAAACATAATAATCCTTTTATTGATCAAACTGTGGAAGGATTATGTTTTCCTAACCATGGATTCCCAAGGTACTAAAAGAACAATTAAACTAGAATTTAGCTAAATTTGTAGAAAAATAAGAATGAAAATAAAGAATAAAAGCACGAAATTGATATGCATATAATTACCGCGTAAAAGGAAAGGTAGTAAATAAAAAGAACGAGTGAAAAAAAAGGTTATGTTTTTAATCTGGTCTGCAGGGTGTTGATTGTGTCAATATTAAAGATATTACAAACTTTTATATAAATATTTATAGGCTTATACAAATAGTTACTTTCACTAAGCTCGTGTATCACATCCTAATCCCCTTAAACGTCACGTCTTGTGATGATGTAGAGCTTCTAGTAGACAAAGTAATGCAAAAAATTACCATGTTAGTTAATTTGTGATCACAATGTTATTTCACAATTGGCTTTTCATTTAGATATTCAACCACGTTAGTAACTGATCTTGCAACCACGTCCTCATTTTTAAGAAAACGACCATTCCCATCTATCTTCAAACTGCATTTAAAGTAAAAGTTACTTTTTACCGTTGATAATGAAAAATTTGTTTACTTAAACTATGATCTATATCCTTGAAATAAAAGAGTTGATCGCACTACAATTTTTCCACTTATTTACTTAGTTTAAATCACCATTTTCTATAATTTTTGAACATTTAAAAATCTAAATTATCGCTTTAAGAAAAATTATAATTTTATTTGTATACTAATTAAATTAATAATTTATTAATATGTGTATTTATTGTTACACTCATATATTTATTATTAATTTTTTTAAAGTGATTTTTTGTTTAAAGTATTTTTTTATAATTATATTAACATTAAAATATTTAACTTATTTTTAAAAAATCAAAGTATCAATACACATAAGTACGATAATAGTGATTCTCCTTGTCAATATTCTAAGATTCATTGAAAAGTGAACTTAGTGAGAAATGAGTTATCATAACCACGACACATGGCTACCGAGGACTATTTGTTTATAAGTAAATAGAAGAACAGCTTATCCAATAAACTGAAATAAAAATAAATAAATAAAGAGACCACGTTGATTTACAATCTTGAAGAAAAAATATTTAATTAATACACTTTAGCTTATAAAAAGTTATAAAAATTTAAATTAGACAATCTAATCTCAAGTTATAGAAAAACATTGATTCAAATTTTTTTTACTAAGAAGTAATTTATGGAAAGTGACCTAAATTGTTGTAATTATTACGATTTTGTGAAGAAGCAGACAAATAGATTGAATAAATATGGAATGGTTGGCTTTGCCTACCAACCTAAAAAAACTCAACTACTCCCTCCTTTCTTCCTTTCTTTTTGATTTACAGTAGTGAGTGGCACCCACGCACCCACGCACCTACCACCCTTCTCAATTCCCACTTTCTTCTCAATTCCCACTTTCTTCATTCTCCCAAACAATGGACTCTCCTTCTCTCAACGTTCTCGTAAGTTTCTCTTCAACCACTTCAATAATTCATATGAACGTATCTTTCAATTTCAATCTTAATCGCTGTTTGGTTCTTTCTTCAGTTTGCCACGCCATCGGCGGGTAGTGGTGGAACGAGGAAGAGTGCAACCTTAATCTGTGCTCCAATCATGGGCGAATCAATTGAAAAAATGAAGATTGATGTGCACAAAGCAAAAGCTGGTGGTGCTGACCTTGTTGAAATTCGGTTGGACTCTTTGAACACCTTCGACCCCTATCAAGATCTCAGCGCTCTAATTCAAAATCATCCTTTGCCCTTGTTGTTCACTTATAGGTTTGCCACTTCGCAATTCTTGTTCCTTTTTTTATTTTTAAAATATAAATGTGTTTAAGTATGAATTTTCGTTGACCACTATGATGTGATTTGATATGATATGATATGGTATGATGTGAGCATTGTAAATGATGAAATTTAATGCCTTTTCTTAAGGCCCACATGGGAGGGTGGTATGTATGATGGTGATGAAAACAAACGGTTGGATGCACTACGATTAGCCATGGAGTTGGGAGCTGATTACATTGACGTTGAACTTCAGGTTGTGTTCCCTTTGTCTATATAAATCCACTAACACCTTCATTATAATATAAACACTCGGACACATGACCCAAATGTATTCTTCACTCAATTTAGACAAATTGGGGGACTTCTCTTGAATTCTTGGGTAGGTTCTGTTTATGTGATAATTATGCTGTACGAAATTTGTCTGCTTAGTTTTGCTAATATATATGCTGTGGAGTATAAACTATAAATGGTTACAGTGTGCTTGTAGTTGCGTAGTTTGATATATATACTGTTATATTATATTCCTCATGCGATACATGCTTAGTTTACCTGTTCCATGCATTATGAATCAGTCATTCATCTTGCTGCCACTGAAGAAAATATATGTATCCCAAAGATGCCTTCTGATTGTTTTCTCTTGTTTTATGGTTAAATTTAAGTCTTTGCATGATTCTCATGAAAATGCTAGGATAAATATTATGCTCATACTACTTGGCATGGAGAAAACTCAACTTCAGGTTGAATTTCTGTATCTAATTTAAGATTAATCAAAGCATTGTCTAGAAATATCAGATAGTGGACCTGAAGGAAACATTTTTTTTTTCTCTTGCATTTAAAACGTTTTCCCCTCATTTGATGAAAGCCAGATACCTTCTTCATTTTATTTGCTCCATAATGTCTGAACTCTGAAACTTACTGAAGCATTTCCTATGTCTGCCATATGTCCAAAGGTAGCACATCAGTTCTATGACTCTATACGTGGGAAGACATTCAATAAAACCAAGGTCATTGTTTCATCTCACAACTATCAGCTTACTCCATCAATTGAGGATCTTGGTAACCTTGTAGCAAAAATACAAGCCACAGGGGCAGATATTGTGAAGATTGCAACAACTGCCTTGGACATCACTGATGTGGCGCACATGTTTCAAATAATGGTGCATTCTCAAGTAAGGCGCGTATGTGCATATGACTAGTAATGGAAAATTTTAACTAAATTTTAATTCCATATACACTTCCTCTTTAATCTTTTATAAACTATTAACCTTATACATTTGTGAATTTAATTTGTCTATTGTAAAGATGAAAATGATAGACAGCTAGCTCATTTGAGGAAGAGTGGTCAAATTTGTTATCAAGGTGCATATTGTGAAGAAATACATACTAATATAACTGCTATCATTGTAAATTCAATGAACGTTTTCCCCAACCATTTAAAACCACGTATTGCTTGTAGTAGAAATAATTTGAAGCACATCTGTCTATGCATCAAACTATCCAATGGGTTTGGACTGTATGAATGTCTTGTGTTAATGCTTAAAACTTTATGTTGCCAGTTTCAAGTCACATGCTCCTGAATTATATTTATATTTTGACTACTAACACTGAAATTTACAATTACTATATTGAGGCTTTCTATATGATAATTAATAATTTTAGCTTAACTATTGTTCTAATTTCCAGGTTCCATTTATTGGACTTGTTATGGGTGATAGGGGATTGATTTCACGTATACTTTGTGCAAAATTTGGTGGATATCTCACTTTTGGTACTGTTGAGTCAGGAGTAGTTTCAGCTCCTGGTCAACCTACACTTAAGGATCTATTGTATCTATACAATTTGAGACAACTGGGACCTGATACAAAAGTATATGGGATTATTGGAAAGCCTGTTAGTCACAGTAAATCACCCATATTGTACAATGAAGCCTTCAAGTCAGTTGGTTTTGATGGAGTTTATGTATTTTTATTGGTGGATGATGTTGCCAATTTTCTCAAGACTTATTCATCAACAGATTTTGTGGGATTCAGGTTCCAACTTATGAAGATATTTTGAATTTATATAATCTAATGTTTGATTTTTTTGCTTGTCTGCTCTAGTTACATTATTGTAAGATGTTTCTAGGTTCTTTTTTGCATGCTAGAAATCTTCCCCAGGTTTGCTAAAGATCTTTATATGCAAAATAAGATATTAGTTTACTGCTTGGTCTTTTGTGGCTTAGGTTATTGATATGTTTTTAGATGAGGATATTTAGCAATATTTCCAAACACAGAAAGGGTTGTTAAAGTATGTAACAACTTAAGCATTTATTTGACAAATAAAGTCTTGTCATAAAGCCATTTATGATTAATTGTTTTGAATTTTGGAATTCGTGAGGCTTGTTTCATGTTAGCTCGCATAACTGTACATATGATCATAGTCATTTCAAATCTAGGTGTCTAAGCCCTAGGGATATACAAGTAGGCAAAACAGTTGGCAAGCAGTTTCTTTATACTATGTAATACAATCAAAGTTCAAACCTTGCTTAAATGCCCTAGTAACCCTATACATGCTTCCTAGTTGTCTTCTACTTTTATGAATATCTTCTATTGTTGAAGTAGCACAATTACTAGTTTAATTTTTTTCTTTCTTTCTTTCAATGCTCCTTATCCCTTTTGTATTGTTCAGGGCTCAAATAAATTGCTCTATTTCAGCCATTTTTCTCTGTTGGATTGTTAAACCTTTCAGATAACTACGTGAGTTTGATCTTTGATATTTGTATTTCAGTGTTACCATTCCTCACAAGGAGGAAGCACTTAAGTGCTGTGATGAGGTTGATCCAGTGGCTAAGGTATTTGGTTATTGATCACTTCATGCTACAGTGTGTTTGACAATTTTGGATCAACAATATTAATAGGAAGCATTTTGATTCCTTTTTTCTTCTTAAATTCTTCAAATTGATTATGACAACAGGCAATAGGAGCTGTAAATTGCATTGTAAGAAGACCAACTGATGGAAAGTTGATTGGGTATAACACGGATTATGTTGGTGCTATTTCTGCAATTGAGGATGGGTTACGAGGTAGTTGTCATATTTGGTGGCTAAGCAATTATGCTGTCGTTGTTGTTATCTGTTTTTCTGAAGGTGTTGTGTGACTCAATTATTTCTTGCCAGGTAAACATAATGGGAGTAGTACAGCTGTTTCACCATTAGCTGGTAAGCTGTTTGTTGTTATTGGGGCTGGTGGTGCTGGGAAGGCACTCGCTTATGGTGCAAAAGAGAAAGGATCAAGGATTGTGATTGCAAACCGCACCTATGGTAAGCTTCATAATTCGTATTTTCCTGCTTAAAGTTACATATTGAATTGTGAAAGGTCTTCATGGATCTTATTGACAAAAGACCATATGTAGGAGATAGTTGGCGTCTTGGCGATGCCATCAATTCTTAATATTGGTTTTAAGGATGAGAAATGTCTTCATGACACGTTTCAGCTCTAGAAGAGAAAAATAATTTTAGTAAAAGTTACTTGGTTTTGGGAACAATTACTGTGGTATGAAAAATCTCAATCATTTGCTTTATGTTTTATTTCTTCTATATCTTGATCACAAGCTTAAGGAAACAATTTGAATTCTATTAATGGAATGTCTAATCTGTTTCACTTTCATCTTTTGTTTACCCTTATAATGCATTACTATACCTTTTCTTTTTAACATTCCTCTCTTAAATAGTAATTTCTCTGTTTACTATATTTTGTATTACTCGTGTTAGTAGATTTGTTTGTTCAGTTCATTGTGACTCTCATGGATACATTATTTTTATATAAGTTTTGGATAATAACATGTATGTGTGTCTGTGTTGGGCAGTGAGAATGAGAATCAATTAATTACTTAATTATAACCGAGAAAATGATATCCCAAAACTGTGGTCCCAAATTCCCATTTTTATGTATAGGTAGCCTTCCAATATCAGTACTTACCAGGCAGCATTAAGTTATTAATAGATGGCTTACTGTTGCTTGTCCCTGTAATCAGTATATTTAACTCACTGTATAACTTTTCTAAACAGAAACAATCATAGCTATTATTCCTGTTAATGATGTATTATGTGTTATTTATATATAGATCGTGCCAGAGAACTTGCTGATGTAATTGGTGGAGATGCTTTAGCGCTTGCTGATTTAGATAATTACCATCCTGAGGATGGTATGATTCTTGCAAATACAACATCAATTGGAATGCAACCAAAAGTTGATGAGACACCTATTTCTAAGGTTTTTGCTCCTTTAATGTTGATGTGCTATATCAGTTAGGGCGTTGAAATATTGTTGGTGGAAGATTTAAATTTGATTTGCTAGTGCCAATCGTATCTACTTCCTGTTTGCTAATGAAGATTAGATTTCTATTCAGATGCAATATGATTATTGATTTATGAAAATGGGTGTTTCACTACTTGATCTCACTAAAATTGTTTATGTGACGGGTTGATTATTCCTACTTAAAGAGAAATTTGGCAGGGAATCAATATGATTAGTTGTGCATAAATGCTTCTTAAGTCTGTCCGTGACTTTGACCTTTTGCTTTGACATATTGATGCTCTCTAGGATTGAGTTTTTATTTCATATAGTTGAACTTAAATAAAATGCCAATGACTTAGCCTGCAAAAACATTCTCATTTTTGTTTGAAGGGACAAAATCTTATGATATGAAACATGAGTAAGTTGAATTCCAGAGACCCAATCATTCCTTTGTTTTTGCAGCATGCTTTGAAACATTATTCCCTGGTTTTTGATGCTGTCTACACGCCCAAGATGACTAGACTCTTGAAAGAAGCAGAAGAATCAGGAGCCACTACTGTAACAGGGATAGAGATGTTTATTGGACAAGCATATGAACAGTATGAAAAGTTCACTGGATTGCCAGGTAAGCTGAATGCAAAATTTTTAGTGAATTGAGTTCTATGTCCTTTTTGACCTGGTTCCCTGGTCTGTACTTTATTTGATCCAATTAATTTTGAAATCTTTTCTTTCTTGATTCTATTTTTGCATTTGCAGCACCAAAGGAGCTCTTCAGGAAAACTATGGAGAACTATTAATGAGGTTTGCAAGCCCTTACTTCTATCTGACTGATCATGTTTATCCACGCTCTGAAAATTCTACCTTTGCTTCTAATCTATTACTCTATCCATGATTGCTTTAGAGAGTGTAGCGAATGTAATTGCGTTTCTGGTGTTTTCTTTTCTTTTTTCTGGTGAACATGACATTGGTATTTTTTACATACGAATTGAATATGCTTGCTGACTGTTGAGTATATAGACTTGTTGCAATATCATTTGCCTTTGTCGCCTTTATTTTATTTTATTTACAGAAGTAATTGGTTTAATTTCTTTGAAAATGTCAACTTTGTATTTCTTATATTTCCTGCTCGCTTTTTTATCCCTTCTTTTCTTTATTATTTTTGTCATAAAACTTATAGCAAGACGCATTGGTGGGTGTAGATGGTCACTTGTGTACTTAAAACCTATTTATTTATTATTCCATTCATCTTTGAAACATTAGCAAAGACTGCATGTCTAATTTACTAGCTTTTTGTTTTCTGGTTCTTAATTTAAATTTCTTAATATAGTAGGGTGAAAGCAATGATGCAAATATCTGTGAAAACCTAACGTTTATTTTTCTTTCTTTTTAGTTGCAGGGATAGTTTGTTGTTGTATCACAATGAAGAATCAGGATGGTGAGCGGATTTGCTTGCGGCTTTGGTTTTAACTTTTAAAGGGAAGTATTTATGTTGTGAAACATGCGACCGCAGGTGCCATTGTTTGCATTGCCTTTGAATGGAGAGGGACTTTCTTTAGGAAATAGTGATTACTTGCATTTATTCTCACCATTCTCTTCCAATTTCTCCTGGTGCAAATTTTGTTTATCATAGCTAAGAAGATTTCTTGGCAATCACAAATAATATCATCAAATGCAATTCCTTGAAAGTTTCTGCATTGTAATTGTATCTAATTTTCTTAAGCAGAAGATGCCTCGTTTTTTTAATTAATTTTATGGAATAAAAAAACTAGCCAGGGATGTTGAGTATTCTAATAATAATATTTATTGATTGATATCATTACAACCCTTGAAAATTCCTCTATAAAATAGTGGATTTTAGTACACGCAGGAACTTCAATTAAAAAATTGAATTAAAGCCGATTTACAAACCTTTAAAATTAGAAGTTCGGCTTAATTACGTAAATATGAATACAATAGTTAAGATATTATATTTGCTATCATCATTATTATTATATTAAATTATTACTATAACATCTTTAAGTTATATATGTCATCTTTTTAAAGAACTGAAACTCGTTAACTTGCATAAAAGTTCTAAGTTTTATACAAAAGCACCAAAACTCAATTCTAAAGAAGGCACGTCTGACCATTCATGCAGGAAATGGAAAAAAAATAAATTATTCACTATATCATTAATTTATTAAAAATAAGCTATGGATTAAAGAAACGTAAGATATATTTCTGGTCCTTATAAAATGAACCATTTTTAGTTTTTACTTCTCTAAATTTTTTCCTTCCATACTAGTCCTTATATATGAGAACTTTGCATCCTTCATGTTAAGAATAGTTTATTAAATTTCGATGTGTATAACAAGATGCTACACTGGATTGTTTACGTGGACATTACATGCCAATATGCGTTTTTAATCCACAGCCTAGACAAGCAATTGAGTGTCACTTGTAACAAATTGATTCAGTCTTTCCCATGTTATATTATTTTAAAATTGTAATTTTTTTAATTTAATTCTATGGGTTAACGAAAATTAATTATTTAAATATTTTAAATTATTAAATCAATGATATTAATTATTTATTTAATTATAACACATGACTAATTGATGATCATTGAATTGAACTTTATTGACAAAAATTTAATATATTAATAATGTATTTGATATTGTAAATAATATATAATTTTTTAATTTAAAATTAAAAAAATATGTCATCTTTTTTTTTAATTTTTTTTCCGAATATATCTCGAAAGAGCACAAAAGTTATTTGTTAAACTCATTGCCTGTGTATTTTGAATGTATTTCCGGTAAATAAATCTGTATTTTTCTGCCTTTTATCTTCATAATTTTTTTAATTACAATAAATAATAAATTTTTATTGGGTAACCTGATTAAAAAAAAAACGATTAAGAAAATATAACTTTCTTGTAAGGTAATTAGAAATTTGAGTTACCGTGACCCACGTCATCCACTCACCGAGGACACCTTGCCTTTGGATAAGTGGTAATGTATGAAGTTACTTGTTAATTCGGGTTTAGTTGTTTTGGAATATTAAGCTTAGCACCGAACTCATTTATTTTCCATTTTGATAACTTACGATGATTTCATTTGTGTGTGTGTGTCCCCATTAATCATGTAAATGGGTAATGAGAGAGTGAGCGTGCTGTTTTTTCTGTTGCTGATACCCTTACCAATTGTTCTGGGCTGGGGAAAGGAGGGTCACTATGCCATCTGTAAGATAACACAGGTAAGTGCTAACCATACCCTTCTGCTTCTATATTCATATCATATCCCAATTATTTTCTAGCACTCTTGCTCCTTATTGATTACTTAGTTTAAATATACAATTAAATAATAGTAGATGGTAATGAAGTGTAGAACATGCCATGAACAATATACTAAATTGAGTATTGATGTTTAAATGGAGGTTCAGTTATAATTTTTGTTGATTTGGGAGTACCAGTGGTTCTGGGTTTGTGCTATGAGTTTATCAAGACACTGGTGTGCTGATTAAATATTCTTGGATGTTTCAAATTCTAGGAGTATCTTAGTGAAGATGCTCTATTTGCTGTCAAACAATTGCTTCCACCTTCTGCTGAAGGTGATCTTGCTGCAGTTTGCTCTTGGGCTGATGAGGTTCGGCATAATTACCGCTATCGTTGGAGTAGTGCTTTACATTATGTTGACACACCAGATTTTATGTGTAACTATGAATATTGCAGTAAGTTTGTTTGGCTCTATGGTACAATGGTACATTGGTATGGATGACATTGTTGTCTGTACTTAGATGGTTTGATGGCCATGTGCTTCACGAAGTGCTGTAATGTTTCTCTCATGACTCATATAGGAGACTGTCATGATTCTTCTGGACATAAACATAGATGTGTTACTGGAGCAATTTACAACTATACTATGCAACTTAAATCAGCTGATGCAGGCACTTTGTCCGAATTGAACTGTATGCATTAACTGAGTATATTCTTAACTTGCTTGTTCTGTGAGAAGATCGGTCCGTTAATTTACTGTTCTGATTATGCCTTTATCAATTGCAGATAATTTGACAGAGGCACTTATGTTCTTGTCACATTTTGTTGGGGATGTTCATCAGGTTTGTTCTTCTAGTTCCTATTTAAAATCTTATGAGAAATAGAGTTTATTCTTGGTTCAAAAAGTGAATATGATTTTCAAATCTTTTGTCAATTTGCATGAGTGGCAACTAGAGTTTTACTTTACTTTTGTTAGGTAAGTTGAGAAATGAGAACTTCAAACTCTTGAAACAAGGATTGCTGGGAATGAGTTATGATATTATTCCCTATATGCTTAGTGAAAATTACAATCATATAATTAAATATGTTGTTTTTCTCCTCAAAACTCTTGCATTTAAGGATTTTTTTTTTTATTTCATTTTCTAGTGCAGCCCCTACATGTTGGTTTTGTTGGAGACCTAGGTGGAAACTCAATAATTGTTCGTTGGTACTGGAGGAAAACAAATCTTCATCATGTAGGTGTTCAGAATCATATTCTTTGCTAGTTGATGACTTGATACAGGCTGATTGCCTTCTGTAACGTAATTGTATTAGGCATTTTTCTCCCATTGTTTACAGAGTGTTTAAGATTGACTGAGAATGTGTTTTTTCCCTTTTCATACTGTCTTTCATCCAAGATTAATAGTTTCCTAAAAGAATTTTTACCTGTACTGGAACTCTGTATGATTATTGGTTTTTTATGGTGTTGTTTTATTGATTGTGGTTGGGAATAATAGTTTGTATGGGCAAGGTAACGATTGAGGATCTATGTCCATCTAAAAGGAAAGGGAATGAAAAATTTAATTTCAATTCTATTTATGCTATGTATGCAGTTTGCACTGATTTATACACTTCGCATTTTATGCAAAATTTAAAGAAACCTTATTGTATTCTCACCTGTTGTAGCTAAAATATGCACCCACTTTTGAAATTGCTTCTTAATTACATTGTCACTAAGATGTTCTACATATTCCTGTGGTCTTGATCTTTTTGTCATAATACCTCTCCCTGTTAATTATGCAGTAAATGGACTAAATTCAGTGATTTTGATTTTGGTTTTGGTCCAGGTATGGGATGACATGATTATTCAGTCTGCTCTTAAAACATTCTATGGTTCAGATCTTTCTATTATGATACAAGCTATTCAAAGGAATATAACAGTGAGTTTTATTTTTCCCTATATTTTTATGCATTTATTCAAATGATGAAGATACCCAGCATAGATAAAGTTAACATTTTTTTTTTCTCTTCTCATTATTTGCTTGGACTTGTAATGTAGATATGTATACACCCAAGAGACTGACTATTATTTTTACTCACTCTCTGCAGGATAATTGGTCAAGTGATGTATCAATTTGGGAACATTGCGCGCACAATTACACAGCTTGTCCATATCAGTATACGCAAATACATTTCCTGTCCAACGTTTTTATCATATTACTCTCTAGTTTTGTCTGATTGGTTGCTTAGTGTTAAACTAGTTACACTTTGCTTAGTTTTCAATATTTCCATATGTATTTTGACTGATTTATGTTCATTTTTTGTGCATCATTATCATAACTCTGCACCTTGAAAACATTATGAATTGATAAATTTGAAATACTTATCTTAATCAATCACAATACTAATTAATCCATGTTGGAAAACTTTTGGTCGTATATTTGGATAGCCATGGTCTCCCCTTGTTTTGCCATATTAGCATATTACTAGTAATTACAATACCTCTTACATACAACTGATATAAAGAAATTATATGCCATGATTTGATTCGTTAAAACTTACAATTCAGGTATGCTTCTGAAAGCATTAGCTTAGCATGCAAATTTGCCTACAGGAATGCTACACCAGGTAGCACTTTGGAAGGTAGTTCCTATTTTCTCATCTATAAATAAAATATTTAAAGAACTTCATAATCTTCAATTATAGATTTCCTCCTCCCCATCTACTGTATTGTTGTTTTGTAAGCCTCCTTGTTTTTCCTCGATTCAAGGGACTTCCTTGTTTGATATGAAAAGGCTGAGGGACTCTTTTGAGTGAATCTATTTCTTTGTTCCTCTATGTTGTGTTCTCTTCTACTTTAGGAGGATTTTTTGTTGCTAATGCATTGCATTCCTTTTTCTTCTATTAAATCCTTTTTTTTATCAAATAATAATAAAAATAAAATCTGAAGTGTTTCACATTTTACTCTGTACCTGGTCTTTGCAGCACAAAACAAATACAGTTGATTTCATAATATCTGAAGGATGACCCCTCATTGTGTTATTCTATTCAATAATGTAGATGATTACTTCCTCTCTCGGCTGCCTATCGTGGAGAAAAGGCTGGCTCAAGGTGCTGTGCGACTTGCTGCTATCCTCAACCGTATTTTTACTTCCAAATCCAGAATTGCTCAAGCTTGAACACACATCTTTAGGGACCTTCAGTGCTCTCCGCTTGCCAACTCTTCTAATATAAATTATAAAGTAGCACAATCGTTGTTCTTGGCAGTTTATATGCCTATTCATTGAGCCTTGTGTATGGAACTAATTTTGGACCATTGTAGAAGCCGCCTTTCTGTGCCTATTGTAGAAGCTACATCTATCTTGTAGCAATTTTGTTTCACCAACCTCTTATTGTAATTTTCAACAGAAGGATCAACATGGATCATTGCCTCTTCATGCAACAATTTATACTTTTACTCCATACGCAGAAAAAAATATGCAATATGAATATGGTGTTAACCCAATATTAAAACTCTTTCAATGGATTAATCCATCAACGACCCATAGGTAAAAAAGACTTGATTTTCTACTGGAAAAGTAAAGGAGTACTCCCCGACCAAACAATTTACAATTTCATTGCTACCCAATTTGTAATGATACTACTTTCTTGGTGAAGGTACAACCCATTTCATCAATTAAGGGTGTATTTGAAAGAATTAATAAATATGTCAGCTGAAAATTGAAAAATCAATTCGAAGCAAGCTAAAAGTAAAAAGTTAGTTGATTGAATTTTTAAAAAATATAATTATTGAACTAATTGATAACAGTATAATGATACAAAAAAACATATTTAATTACTTAGACTTAATTTGAAATTTGATCAGTATTTATATTTTTAAATAATTATCACTTTCATATATAAATTACTTTATCATCTTAAAAATCAGGATAATATATATATTTTTAATTTTATTATCATTTTTAATTTTTTATTAAATAAAATAAGATCATATAAATGAATTTATATTATAATTTTAGTGATTTAATATTATAAAGAAGTTTTTTTAAAAAATTGTATCTAATTTAGAATTAACTTTTATTGCACGTGTTACTGAGATAACAGTCTGACTTTAATTAAAAATACTTAAAACGTGTTTTTTTTCTTTTTAAAAATATTTTTTTAAAAATAAAAACAAACACTCTAAGAGCATATTTGATTATTATTTTAAAAATAGTTTTCTGTTTTTAAAAATAAATTCTAGTACAAATTTGTATTAAAATTTATTTTTAAAAATAGAAAATTATGTTCAAAACAGTAATAAAAAATATCATAAGTATTTTATTTTAAGTTTTATTTTGTTAAAATCTAAATCTATATATCCAACCAAGTCTGTAGACATGTTTCATTTTTTATGTTAGAAGCTTTTTTTTTCCTGTCCAAAACTCCTCAAGTCTGAATTCTGAAATTTCTAAAATTGAAACACAATAAAATGGATGTGAGACACGCGCTCTTGGGCCTATGCCCAATAGGCACCTGCACATATTTTGGCAAAAAAGAAAAACAAAATATTTCCATTTGACCAAAATAAAAAACACAAAATATATTTAATTAAAAGTTGCATAATTTAAATTTAAATTTAATTTTTATAAAATATTTGTTAAGGCATAGTTTCTATTTTTCTAAACATTGTTTTTAATTTAGTTAGGAAACATGATCTAATAAAAAATTGATATTTAGCAGTATCTTGATAAATCACCCCAAGATAATTTACAAAAGAAAATAGAGATTAGATTTAAAAAAATAACTAAAAAATAAGTTAAAATTAAAGAAGCGAGCAAAATATTGTTTCCGCAATAACAGGAGCTTCCGGAAGTTTGAGCAGAGAAGTTTGATTTGACTCGGAAGTCGATGATTACGAAGTTGGAGACAGAAAGTGTTGGGCCCATTATTTATGAACCGTTGATCAAAATTCAACACCGCGTCCCTACTCAGCTTATTTCACCTTCTTTGACCATCTTCTTTGCTTCCTAATTTGGTTCTACGTACTCTTCACTACAACCTGCCTCATTAGAATACAAAATGGAATTTTCCAATTTTTGTAAAAGTCGCAGATGGAATCACACAAAGTCTTATCTGTCCTCTCACCTTCTAAACATGAAACCCATTTTGTAGGGACAGAATCGTCTTTTCCGTTTCATACGGTGCCGTTTAACTGCTAGCTCACTTTGGACCTCCCGCATAAGAATATGAAGTAAGAATATGCGGAAAACGTGCTTCTTTCCCAGAACCTGGGCACTTGGCCCACCATTACTATTATTTATTAGGCAATATTTTACTTTTAATTTTGTAATATTCTATCATTTTTTTTTTATCGATTTTGTCAATCTCTGAAGCATTCAAAAGTGGTATTTTATTAAAAATTAGCATTATTACAATTATATATTTTTAATAAAAATCAATTATTTTAAAATGTTAAAATCAACCTTAAATATTAAAGTTAGTAAAAAAGTTATTTTAATAACTCACAAAAAAGTTGCTCATTTTTTTATTTTGATAATTTGTTTCAAAAATAAAGGCTAAAATAATTTTCGGTTCTTACAAAATTCTCAATTTCTTATATGCTTCTTTATTTTAATAAAAAATTAAAACAATTTTTTTTTATTTCTATATGATATTTTTGTTTATGATTCATTAATTTTTTTTGGTTATTTATTTAAGTGATAGTATTCAATTTGACTTAATGATATAACATGGAAATGACGTGAATGAAGATGTAAAATCTACACTTTTATCTCCTTCGAATTTGTATATTCAGTTCAAACAACTCTGACCCTATAAGTTAAAATTTTGGGTTAAATATGGTAATGAAATTATATTATTAGTGGCACATTTCTTTCACGTCATTTTTTAAGTCAAATTATATAAAATAACTTGAATATTATATAAGCAAATAACAAACAAATTAATATATTACTAATAGAAAAATATAAAAAATGAATATTTTTGAGTACTAGATTAAAAAAATTTAAAATAGAAAATGAATAAATAATAATATTTTTTGAAAAAATTTTCTAACACGCGATTTATGTTTTTCTTTACAGTACAGAAATAAATTTAAGACCTTCTGGAATCTCAACTGCACCCTAGTTTCTTGGGTCTCAAGGCGGCGGAGTTGGTCACATGGGAATGGGTGAATATAATATATTTTAATCACACTTTCATGGTAGCACCGCCCTACACGCATCATATTTAACCCTTACACAACTTATGCATGCTCATTTGGCACATCAACAAAGCGTCAAAAACTCCTTCAATCTTCATCACCCGTAACCTCATTACCAAACCAAAGGTAGCTCTTAAATATGATGCTTGATGATGGCTGTGATTTACTTGGTTATTTTTTATTTCCAATTTCATTTGCTTCTGTTATATTATGGAGCTACTTTTTCTATAAGATCTAGACAGCCCAAATCTTTATCATTTTTGGTTCGGAAGATTAGTTGCATATTATTAGACTGATTTCCATGCCCCTGCTTTACTAATGATTTTGAGCATTGATGTTAGGACTCGCGTGTGTGTTTGTCAATTGTTTTATAAGATTGTGTCTGTGACAAACTAAATTGGTGATCCTTCTGTATACATTTGTTTTGTTAGCAGGCACTAGGTAGGTAATCAAGTGGCATTGGTTGGTCATATTTCTAAAATGAAACTTCTTGTCCTTTCAACTTCCTTTTCCCTTCTTTTATTTTCAATATAAATTTATTAAACAAAACTCGTGCTTTGAGTTTATGAAAACTCAAAGCAAGCTGTGAAAAAGTTTATTTTTTCAATGTTTTTGGTGGACATGTAGCTACGAGAGTGAAAAACCATGGTTACCTGGTTTTAGTGGCTTATGATGAATCACATCTATATCTTTATGACAACCTGACTCGCTTAGCGTTTTGTTCAATAAGATAATTATTTTGCTGACAATATGTTTGATGGCATCATCAAGAGTATATGTTGGACGTATCTTAGTATCATCCATCATATCCCAAACTAGTGTCAAATTCAATGTGGCATTACTTGTTTCGAATTATTGTAAAATGAGTTACCATTTCTGGGTGATTCTAAACTTTAACGGATTCTTTCGTTGTAACTGTCAATGGTTGATGAGCACAGCTATGTTAACTTTTGTTATGTTGTCCCATATTCTTGGAAATGATGGTGGTCCACTAGTCATGAATTCTGGATTTCTTTGCAGCCCTCTAATGCTCAAACTCTTATTTTCTGAGAAATTATTGTATGATCTGGAACTACCATTTGTCTATGGTCTTTTTTTCCCTTTTGTCTCTGTTCATGTTCTGAAGCACCTAATTTGTCCATCATGTTGTTTATAATAACTTGTTGTTTCCTGTAAAACATATCATTCTTGTTGGTGCAGTTAAAACTTGAAAGCACTAAAATCCTGAACTTTGGTCTTTTTCAGAAAAGCTTATATAAGGTGTAAAGGCTTGTCCCCAGAAATTGTTTCCTCAGAAAATGGCATTGGCAAGGATTGCTAGGGCCAACCTGAGAAAATCAGGAGGTGCTCTTGGTAGTTATGCTCGTGAGAAGGATGTGTTCAATGAGGGAGCCTACACAAGCAAATGCTCCTTACCTTCCTATGTAAATTTCAAATCAGATGGAAAGTTTTCGTATGTTCCAAGAATCAAGGAACAGAACTACATGAACTTTTCAATGAGAGAAATATCAGGAACCCCATACCATCAGTTTCCTTCTGCTAACACACAGAGGGTTATAGAGGACTCTGAGTCAGAGTTGGAGTATGATCAACCAAGATATGCAGGACTAGAGGCAACAAAACCAGGTGAAAAGCCTAGAGTGGTTGTTCTTGGTACTGGTTGGGCTGCTTGTCGGTTCCTCAAAGGTTTAGACACCAGAGTTTATGATGTTGTATGCATATCACCAAGAAATCACATGGTCTTTACTCCTTTGTTGGCTTCAACATGTGTTGGAACCTTGGAATTCCGGTCTGTTGCCGAGCCTGTTAGCAGAATACAGGATGCATTGTCAAAGGACCCCAACTCCTACTTCTTTCTAGCCTCCTGCACTGGCATTGACACACACAAACATGAAGTGAGTAAAGTGAATGTGCCCTTTGGCCTTTGTTTCCTTTTCTTTAAATTCTTTGAACATTCAAGAAATCATGCAACGCTCTATGGGAAATATTAGTACAGTGATAAATTTATGTTTGTACAATTTTTATGTAAAATGCTGAAGTGCATTCAGAAGTTTTTCTAATGAAATGAATTACTCTTTTTTTTTTACCATGTGCCAACAGATCTATTGTGAGGCAGTTAACAATGGTGGATTGCCTCGAGAGCCTTACCAATTTAAAGTCGCATATGACAAGCTTGTAATTGCAGCTGGAGCTGAGCCTTTAACTTTTGGTATCAAGGGAGTAACCGAGCATGCTTTTTTTCTTCGTGAAGTGAACCATGCTCAAGAAATAAGGAAGAGACTTCTCCTTAACTTGATGCTTTCTGAAAATCCAGGTGGGTATTTGATATCCATTATAGTTTTTCTTTTAAGTTTACTCTTTTTTTTTTTTTTAATAAAATAAACCTAGTTAATGCAACAATTCTCTGTGCCATTCACTTTTTTTTTTTTTCTCGAAGTTCTATTCTGTTCCCCTCCAATTCACCTTCATTCCTTCACTTGAATGAAAGCTTGAAGTTTCTTTTCTTTTATGATTATTCTTCAGCAGGAGCCATTTGAAGGTTTTCTACAGGGTTTATTTTTAAAAAAAAAAGAACTTATTCACTTCATTTTTTAGAAGTCATTATGATTGCAGTTGTCATTTTCTGCTGAAGCCTAAGCTAAATTCGTTTTAATATAACAGGGATATCAGAAGAAGAAAAGAAACGCCTTTTACACTGCGTAGTTATTGGAGGTGGTCCTACGGGAGTAGAATTTAGTGGTGAACTGAGTGATTTCATCATGAGAGACGTTCATGAGCGTTACACTCATGTTAAAGATTACATTCATGTCACGCTCATTGAGGTACCTGGCTGAACATAATTCCATATATGAAAGTCTATTTTGTTAATAGATGGTAAAAATTGATGTACTTAACAATTATGTGAACTTTTCATGATTAGGCAAATGAGATACTGTCATCCTTTGATGTTAGCTTACGGCAATATGCAACAAAGCACTTAACAAAGGTAAACCTTTGAGTTTTGATCATATATTTGAGTCTATAAAGATTGGCCACATGCTCTTAATTTCAATTTTCAAGTTTAAGGCTGAGACATTCAATTTTTGTATCAGTCTGGGGTCCGTCTTATGCGAGGTGTTGTGAAGGAAGTGCATCCCAAAAGGATAGTTCTGAGTGATGGAACAGAAGTTCCTTATGGACTCTTGGTCTGGTCCACAGGGGTTGGTCCCTCTAAGTTTGTGAAGTCACTAAATGTTCCTAAATCTCCTGGTGGAAGGTATGTGCAGCAAAAAAAAAAAAAAAAAAAAGATTTTCGTATTTTTCTATATATGATCTCCATTTAATTAATGTTGTTGATTGATACAGAATTGGTGTTGATGAATGGTTGCGTGTTCCATCTGTGGAAGATGTCTTTGCCCTTGGAGATTGTGCTGGTTTTCTTGAACAAACTGGAAAGCCTGTGCTTCCAGCTCTAGCTCAGGTTGGCCTTTATGCATAAATGTTTTGTCAAATGATATGGATAAAGTGAAGCATAAATGTTTTGTCAAATGATATGGATAAAGTGATCAAGAAAATAACCTAGTGTAAATGGATGCATTTGTCAATTTTAGTTAAGTTTTATCAAGGTTTACTCCCGGGCACATTATGAGGCCCTCTTCCTGATCCACCTTTTGGTAGCTTTTCAGGCATATACTAAAAAGCATCCATTGCTATGCACTATATATTTGTATTTTGTAGTTTTCAACTAATGATGTGAATTGCCGTCATTGTTCACAGTATGCTGAAACATAAGATAGTTTCCTTTTCCCCTGGCAAATTAGTCATTCCCTGCAACTGCAAAGGTTACCAAAGCCTTATATTAATAATATATTTCCATTGAAGTGTGAAAGCTTCTATTCCATTCTATGCTGGAAATCAAGAATAATAAGTGGGAATTAATGCGCGATACTTACCTATGCATTGGTCACTTACAGGTTGCTGAAAGGGAAGGGAAGTTTCTTGTGGAGTTGTTCAACAAAATAGGGAAACAGAATGGAGCCAAGGCTTTCTCTGCAAAAGGCATGCCACTTGGTGAGCCTTTTGTCTACACGCATCTTGGGAGCATGGCATCAGTAGGTCGCTATAAAGCACTAGTTGATCTACGACAGTCAAAGGTATAATATGAATGTTTTTAATTCTAATACTAACTTGGATTTTATTTATAAAAAATAAAGATTACATTAATTGTTAATTTTTATATTATTATTTATTACAAAATTTGTATCTTTCTTTATTTAAATAAGCAAAAATATTTATTTATTTAATATACAAGACACTAATTTAATTACTTAATATTATAGATATTTTTTAAATAAAATTAAAACTTATGATGTATAATTATTTTTCTTAATGATAGTAAATTAAATATATATTTTATTAACATTAACGCTAAGAATTAAATGTAAATATTATTTTTTAAAATATTATTATTATTTAATGTTAAATTAAATTTTAAAGATTAAAATTAATTTATTATCAAATATTTATTTCTCATAAAGAATAAAAATTGAATTTAATAGTCTTTACTAACATAGCAAAGTAAATAAAAGAAAGCGGCTTCTGAATCTGATTTTGCTTAACATAAATATTGTGTAGGATGCAAAGGGGTTGTCACTTGCTGGTTTCATTAGCTGGCTGATATGGCGCTCTGCATATCTTACCCGTGTAGTTAGCTGGAGGAACAGGTTTTACGTGGCAGTGAACTGGGCTACCACTTTGGTCTTCGGCAGAGACAACAGCAGGATTGGTTGATTCCTCAAATTTCATCACAGCACTTCCAAATGTGCAAAACCATTTTTTTCCCTCATTAGTTTGGCTGAGTAGTGATTAGCCTATTCATTCTTTTCATCATTTTATTTTCTGTCAATTTATAGAAATATTATAAAATATAAATTGAGATATTGTGCGAGTATTTATACTTAGTATTTTGGGTTCATAATAGAAAACATCCTTCTGGAATCATTGTAAAGAACTCATCGACAACCTAACAAAGTTTTACCAATGATGGGGAGACAATGCAAAATAAAGGGTAAAAACAAGAAAACAAATGGTTGTTGAAGGGCGTTTTTATTTTCAAAATTCTTAGTAATACATTTTTTAATATATTTTTATTTATGGTAAAAATTATTAAAAATATAAAACATATGAATAAAAATTATTAAGTTAAAAAATAAAAACATTGAATTAAGAATAAATTCACATATTTTTTAAAGCAATTTTAATCGGTAAATAAAAAGGTGATTAAAAAAATATTTTAAAAATGGATGTTAATCACAGAACTTTGCTTATTAAAAAATATGTTTATAAAGAGTAAAAAGAGTTATAAGCATGTTCTCTGCCTAGTTCAAGTAACATTTAAACTTATTGTTTAACTCTTAAAACTCATTATGTATATACTGTTTAATTTTTACCTTTACTACTTTAATAATTTTTTTATCAGAGAAATATTGTTAATTTATTTTGAATTTTTAAATAATAGATTTATTTTATTTACTATCTTGGTATATCATAGTAAAATATAATTTAAACGATATTTAATTTAATTACTTTACTATTTTCTTACAATTCGTGATTACCTTTTTAATATTGTATTATCTATTTTGATTGTTATATTATTTGCATTATTTATTTTCATTACTGATAAAATATTTAATTTATTAAAAAACAAGAATTTTAAAGTCAACTAATACACTCAGAAACTAAAATAACTAAAAATATATCATTATTTATAAATTTTTAAAAAATAATATATATCTAAATATATATATATATATATATATATATATATATAATAGTATAATATAAATGCATATCTTTATATTATTTTTTGTGTATCCATTAATCCAATAACTAATTTTATTAATTACTTTAATTTGACAAGTTACTTTAATAACTTTCAACGAGAAAATACTTTTAAATTTTTTAATTAATTTCAACTATTTGTGTTAAATACAGGCATATAGCCTTACAATCATTCTCCCTTTCGATCTCTTATTATTATTATTATTATTATTATTATTATCTGACACCTTATAATTCCTTTTATAATTATTCAATCGTATATCAAAACATTATTAGAGAAATTGTAGTCCTGACCCATGAAAACAGGATCAGACTCTTACTCCAACTGAAAAATGGTCACCATCTTCAATTAGCAAAATAACCCATTTTTACAAACTTGCACCAAACTTTTGGTTTATCTTCTGCCATTGTGAACCAGTTTAGGCCTATGTCACCATTTCCTTTTATTTGGATTTTCCTTAACGGGCCACATACATGACTGAATAAGTTTTATATACGAGGGCAATTAATCCCTACTTCTACTATGGCCTGATAGGAATTTAATCACCGATTTTGAGTTATAAAAAAAAGATGTATTATTTTATATGATAAGCATAAAATTAGAGAATTTTTCAAACAATATAAAAACATAAATTTGATTATAACTTTAAAAAAAAGTTGATTCATTTTATAACTTGGTTTTGAATTCCTATAAATACTTACTCAACTCAACCTATATCTCTATAAAAAGAAACCAAGTAAATGGCATTAAGAAAGAAACTATAACTCATCTCTACAACATTAATCAATATGGGCTTTGTACAACTTTTTAGTTAACAAATACAACAGCTTGAATTCTCCAAGGACAGAAACCCATCCCTTGATGATGATGATGCTTCCATAGTGGTCAAAAATTGTTGCAGAAAATCAAGATTAGTGAACACATCGCGTAGTGAAGGAGGAGAAGACGGAGGAGACTGTGTGAAACATGCCCACAACAATTCCCAACTTAACTTGGCCCCTCTTTGGGATCAAACGGCTACAAATATTCCTGTTGGACAAATAACTGTCGTTGATCAAATCCCTTCTTCTAATCACCGCCACACCCATCTTTCCCTTCGTAGCTTCCTTTTCTCTCTTTCCCCTTTCAAGACAAAGTTTAGTAACTTCTTCCACCACCAAAATAAACACACTGCTTATTGTGCTGTGATTCGTTGAGTCTCTAACTTAAATAGAAGCTGGTGTGAACTTCACTTACAAGAGTGCCCCTTGTTTTTCAATAAATTACGATTCCTTTTATCTTATTTTATTCGTTTGTTTCAATCGAAGATGCTCTCTCGCGGTCGTGGGTTTTGAATCATTGGCCTTTGTTGACGATTTTGACCTTGCCAGCTGTCTACCTTTTCTTCGTTACGTGCGGTGGAGTACCTCTTTTTCTTTGTTTGATATTGACCTTACACCAACAGTCAAACCTACCCTTTGTTGGTTTCTATTGTTCAACGTACTCAATTATACCCCTTATTTGTCCCAACAAGGGAAAATTTCATTGCCCCCATAAAAAATTCATATACCTGTTTCTAAAATTTAAGTTACTATATAAATTAAAGAACCAAATAATTAAAAATAATAATATTTTCTTTATATAATTTATTGAAAAATGAGAATACATTTACAAAATTTAAATTTTTTTATTGATGTTTATAGTGCGTCTCAGCTTTAAATTAAAAATAAATTACTTAACTCAATAACACTCGTACTGGTTTGTCTTCTCATAACCCTATAAAACAATCATATATAAAGGGATAAAATTAAACAAATAATGTATGTATAAAACTATTAGGTGATACATACATGGGTGCATACGTAAAAAGAATTACAAGTGATGTTTGCTCATATTTTAAGACAAGGTCAACAGTCAATTATTATCACTGGCACGGATTTGAATTGTATAAAATAAAAATAGAACAAAGATTGGTAGGAAAGTCCATAGTCAACACTAGTTAACTAGAGCGAATCCTTTGGTCTTTGGATAGATAGGGAAAACAAAAAGGGGTTAAATAATCAAGATGTTAACAGAAGCTCACCAGCCAGTAAACGAATTCATCGCTACGTAAGCTTCCACTGATTTTTTTTAAGGAACTTTAAGATGAATTTTTTTATTGGTAATTTTTTCGATAATTTTGTTTTTTTAAATTGATTAAATCATTATATATTTCAAGCATGCTTTTTATATTGAAAATTCTATATGATGGGATATATATATATATATATAATAAGTATTTTAAACATTTATTAATTTAAAACATTTAAAATCAGTTTTAATAAATTTTTAAAAAAGTGGTTGTACGTGATAATGAGCTCACACAGTTTGGGCGATAAATCATTATCTGAAAAAAAAAATCGAAAATAGCGGAAACGACGGCGTAACGCTGGCTATATTTAAAAGGCGAGCAGCAGGCTGCGGGTTTAGTTTAATGTAAATAATCTAATTTGAAAATATTAAGAAAAACATAAGCCTCGTAAGTTGTGATGTATATAGTATACTATCTTTGTTACATTAAAATCACGTGCACGATTCCTTTAATTAGTTAAAGCACTGACGATTCTGATTTTGGAGAATCGAACCATTTTAGGTGTCATTTTGTCGTTTAGTTTAAGGCCCTACTTCCCACTAACCTTATTTTATTACTCCATCCAAACGTGGCCTCTATTGCCCCATATGCAACCCACCTCAGCTAAATTGCTTCAATTTCAATGTATCCTGCTCCTGATAACTACGTCCTCCATATCCAAACCCTCATCTTTCAATCTTATACTTTATAATTTATTGCTCCCTCAAACTAGCCACTAAGATTTTTTCTTTTATTAAAAAAATAAAATATCTTAAAACTATAAAAATAAAATAATTAATAATTATAGACGTTGAAGATTAAAATCACATTTTATTTAATTTAGAAATAATTTTAATAAATCTTAAAAGATTATAACATATCAAAATGAAAGAAAGTAGGCTGCTAAGTGGACTTAATTAACAAATGATGCGTACCCCATAAGTGAATGTCAGTGCTCTGAATCTTGTAAAGGGAAGTCTTCGATACAACGTACTGAAAACGTAATATTTAAATACGTTGGTTTAAGATCATGTTGGATTTTGTTGAGGGAAGAATAGATTCGAAGAATAAAAATATACTACTAAGGCTATAATAACAATATAAGTGACAGTTGTTAAACTCATTGTTAATCCCAATTATTGAATATTAAATTTAAGACAACTTGTTCCTTGTTGCTTTGCTTAACCTAGTCAAGCACTTTTGGTAAAGATCGTGCACTCAATCTGAATGGCCGTTGTTTGACATGACCATTCTCCTACCTCTTAACAAATGTGAAAACAAAATATTATATTGGATAAATGCTCCCTATCGATCTAATGGGAAAGAAAAATTAAATCAGAAGACAAAAAATGGAAGGCTCGTGTAGATGAATTAGTATCACACCTTTCAAATCAAGCTGAATTTTGCAATAATTATAACGAGTTTTGACTGTAAGGGGCCAACACCCTGAAAACAAACAGCATGCGGTTCCGTTTGTACCTTGTACTTTGGTAATTTAGATGTACTCAACTATATTAAAAATTATTTGTAATTATAAAATTAAATAAATTAGATAGATGAGATTGTAAGCGAATTTTTAATATCTGTAAATGATTTGGAGCTTTTTTTTTTTGCATTTTGCTGGCTGTTTCGTGCAAGCTGCAGTAGAGACTTCAAAACAAAAAAAAAAAAACTCCCGTCTCAAAGTTAAAGACCAGCATGGTTAATTAAAATTAGTGTGTTAGTTTGATTATTTTATTTTTTTAAAAGTAAATCTCATTTTGAAACTAAAACCCATCCATTGTTGCAGATCCAACTAAAAACTGAGGTGAACAAGAAAGGATTGGATTCATTAAGAAGAAATTAAACAAGAGATTTACA